CTGGTCTAGTGGAAGGTGTCCCTGCCCATGGCAGGGGGTTGGAACTAGATGGTCTTTAAGGACCCTTCCAACCCAAATCAGTGACAAACATGGGTCCTAGAGGTCTGCAAGGTGAAAATTTCCAAAAAAGCCCTAATTCTTAAAATCAGTTTAACTTTTTTGGACTAATAGGGGTGCTGGGATACATAAATAAGGACACTTTAGTGGAGTACGATTAAATTGCACCAGCTTTACTCCCACCATTCTCTACCCTCCACAATGAGCCCAGGAGAGCTGTTTCTGAGTAGACGGTATTGGCAATGCCTGCAAAGCTGTAACCCCTTTCTCCAGCTTTGCTTCTGCCTTTGCCTGGTTGCCTCTAGGTTCCTTTCCAGTGCTGTCCACTTTGTAGGGAGTTTGGGCCTTCATTGTGGTTCTCAGCACTTTGTTTTGCTAAATTGCAGTGTGAGATATTTTTAATCTGGGTATATTTATCAGTTTGGCTTCTTACGCTCTCTTGGAGTAGCTTTGTGAATGCAGCATATCTGGGAACAGTTTGTTCAGTTTTCCCATCTGTATGGGTTGAGTGTAAACTCATTTTCAGACTCTTTGTTGTGAAACTTAGTTATAGGATCCTGGGTGTGGTTTTCTCCCTCTACCTGATTTTTTTCTTCAAAGCAGGGTTTTCAGTAGGTAATGCCAAATTAGCTTTAATTATTCTATGGTAAGTCTGAAGTAGCATTGCATCAAAATACTGTGGGATTGTGTGTGCTCAATGAGACCTAATAAAGTTACCTCCCCACCCCTAAAAACTGCAGACTGAGGAATGTCTTACCAGTTTCTTGCAGCCCAGGGTACATAATAGTATTTTCCTTGTTTAAAATGAGGGAAGGGTTGAAGCATTCATGACCTAGACCTTAAAAAACAAACCAACCAACCAAACAAGAAAAACCCACCAAAAACAAACAAAAAAGCTTGTCCTGTTGAGTAGTAGATGGTGTAGAGGAGACACAAAGTGTCATCACACAGGTGCTCATAGAAACAAAAAACCAGACTCAAGTGCTTATAAAAGCACGAACATAAACTCCAGTTCAGCAGAACGATTTTTTTTTAATACATGTATCTTAATATTTTTTTAAAATAGTATTAGAACTACAGTTAAAAACTGCAACATAGAATTATATTTTTAAAAAGAAACTTCAAGTTCCAGTATTGAGCTTTTTGAGAACCGCAAAGATACTTTTTTCTTGTTAGGGTCAGAGAAGAAGAAAAATAATAATGTTATACCCGGTGGGTGCATATAAGAAACTGCTGCAGTCAGTGTTGAGATAGGAACATTTTATTTTTTCATCTATGAGAGAGTTTCAATTACAGGATCAGCACATACCTGAAGTTTGTGATGCTTTGTTTCACAAACTGTTTGTAAGTGATACGATGCACGCTGGCATATTTCTTAAAGGTAGTGTTGAACCAGAAGAGCAAGGAAGAGTGAAGTTTATAGCTCAGATTACAACTGACATTTTTTCTCTAATCTTCTGTTTATGCTGCTCGTTACTGTGTCATCTTATCTTCTTTGTTATGATGTTTTCCCATTTATACAGTGGGAGTGATGTCACTTCTCAGGCCCACTTAGCAGTCCAGAGACCAGTAGCCTTTCAAGGGTGGCTGCCAGATTTTTTGACCTAAACTTTGCAGTTAACTGTACTGAAGCCTGGAGAAGATGGGAAAGTTGTTTTCCTCTCAGCAGGGCAGACTCTTGCCATTAAAGAGACCTTTGAGGAGGCAGCTTCTGTCTGAACCTGGAACTTGTTGAGAGCTGGGTTTTTTTTGTCCTGAGATACCACATCTGCTCTCAAAAGCAATGTCCTGTGGTTCTGCTACTTATCACCAATATCTGAAAGTCTTTTCGCCCATACCAAAGAAATATTCAGTATCAGAATCTTCTTGTACATGTGTATTGGAAAAAAACCTGCAGGGGTTGCTTTCTTTCCCAGACTGAGGTCATATTTCCTACCTGGAGAATATTAGTTTTTCCTGCCTTGTGCTGTTTCCCCCATCCCTAACATCATAAGCATGTATGTTGGTTAACACCAGCATTTTTATGTAAAGTTAACCTACTGAATGTGGTTGTTATACAAAGACCATATTTAAATCCATATCCAACTTCCATCTGCAAAAAGCAAATGTCTTCTCCATATCTGAGATGTTTAGAAAAACTCTAATTATAAGAATCTGATAAGCTGTACCTCTGAGGGGTTGTCTGTGTCTTTGCTATCATGGTGATGGGCTTCTGCTTTTTTCCCTGACTTGAACGCTTTGCAAAACTCTTTAACAGAGTTTGGCCATTTCTTCCACTTTAATTTCAGTCCTTGAAGTATAAATGTAGGACGAGGATGGAGACAGCAACACTGATATTATTTGGAGAGTGGCTATATTTACATAAAGCTCAAAAACCTGAAAGATATCAAAAACAGTTTCTGTCATGCCAAGTAGAAGTTGTACTAAATTCTTTAACAACCAAAGAATTTTTTGCAAGGAAACAAAGCAGCAAGAATATCCACTTCCTGTGGAAAGAAGGTTTGCTTCTGAATCTGATGAGAGCAGGCTAAATAGAAAACTTAAGTTGCCAAGAGGTTACATTTGAGTATGTATAAACGAATCTCTGTTTTGCTTTTGGAAAAAGGCTTGAAGTAATGTCCTGTCTGCTGAAGTTGTTATATATTTTTTTCTTTGCAGTTCTAAACCAGTAACTTCTGTGTTAGACATACCAGACGAAAGACCTATGAAGACAGCAGTCTCACCAGCAAAGGTATGATGGGTAGGGAATATAGCAGAAGTTATCTTTTACATTTTATGTGTTTCTTTGCGTCAGTGGTAAAGATAACTAAAGGTTTGAGGAGGAAAGATAATAAGTTGGAAAAAATGAGTATATTTTGATTTGGAGGGAGATAATGGAAACCACTAAAAATCCAGTGCTGAAGTGCTGTTACGGCTCTAATCAGTGGCTGTCTGCTTGACGTTGTTTCTAGTCCCTTCAGCCTCTGAAGAGAATTGTTCTGCAGCGTTGAATATTAGGAGGCGTGCTTACAGGTTTTTGACAGGGGAGCGAGGCAGGGGAAATCACTGCACTTCCAAGACCCTAGTGGTATAACAATTTGACTGCAACTGTAATGTTCATTCCTTTTTTAGCAAAGGAGGAATCCATTTAATTCCACTGCATCAGGTGATAACTTGAACAGTGAGGAATCAGAAAACAGACCAGCTGTTCTACCTCAGCTCTCAAAGAAGGGTAAATATACTTATTTAGAGGGAATTTCATGGTGGTTTATATGGAAATTATTTTTCCCTGCTGCTTTTTGTGAGATACCAAGGTCTGTTTTATCTTAAGTACTTGGAGTTATCAGCTAGCTTATTCCAATCCCCATGTAAAATGTGAATATACTCAGGAAGTGGCTGTTATGTGAGTAAATGATTTTTGCTTCCTTTTTTCCGACTTACAGTTCTAATCAGCATTAAGTACTCCAGCTGAGAGGGCTGTTTTGTCCTGAATTGCTGTTAAGAGAACAGAAATTTCCTTGAATTTGTCATAACTGTCTTTATGACCTTCCTGTCATTGCTGCTGTTGGCTAAATGGAAGAAGCCTAACTGTCTTTGATCTTTATTTTTTCCCTTTGTCTTCTCAGTTCTGTTTATTTTTAAAATACTCCCTTTCCTGCAGTATTCTCTGCAAGCAAGTAGATGAGTGATGACATATCATATACAGGCATTTGAAGTTATAATTTACAGGGGCATACATGGAAATTACTCTCCTATCTCTGTTATGGAGCTTGCTCACAGGAAAAAGGAAGACTTGAACATTAGGAATAAATAAACTTCCTCTCCATACTTGGAGACCATTTCTGCATTTTTAGCTCTTTCCATATCAGTGTGGAAATAGACTGTTTCTGTAGGTTGCTGTTTATGGTCTGAATCTGAAGAGGTGCATGTGCATTCAAAAGCTGCCCTTCCCTGCAAAGTTTGTCCCTTGCAGGAATAATGCTGATCAAAAATTTGGTGTCTTCTCTCTATTTCCTATCATCAAATATTTCTTATTCTAGAAATTTTAACTAAGGATTTTCATATGTTAAAACGTCCCATTAAATACAAATTAAATCAACAGCCATGTTAAATTTCTTCTTTTGTTTTTCATAAACCAGTATAATCACTGCATTCTAGAGCTGCACTGTGTCATACTAATCTGTTTATGCAGACGAACGTCACGCAAACTCATGTTTTCTTCTCTATACATGTCTTACAGAAATTTTGTCACCCTCGGAAGACAGCCAACCTAAGCCAAACTTACAAAATGATGAAACAGAGAAACATAAGAAGCCTTCTGGACAACCTACTGATGAATCACAGAAAGGAATAGTTAAGCGTCCTGTCCCAAAAGCTAGAAAATTAATTCACAAAGCAATAGATCCTGTGTCAGAAAGAGAAGACTTTCTTCCCAAACCAGCCAAATGGACTGAGAGGATTAATGGCGTCGGTACACCCCCCAGGGGCATTCTGAAGCGCAGCTCAAGTTCAAGTTCCACTGACTCAGAAGTTCGTGTTAGTCAGATGTTAGATGTTCAGAAAAAGAATGGTCTTCCTTCTGGGACTATCTTTGAAGGAGAAGCTGAGAAGAACTCTCTTATGGAAGAGGCAGAAGACTCCACACAAATTTCACTGGAAAAACTAAAACAAGTGAGGTTCTCATCTAGCACAGGTAAAGGAGAACCTCTACAAAGCCCACAGCTACACCATGGCAGAGAAACAGGAGAGTTTGATTTGTTAGAATGTGATGAAATAAAGCGTAGTGGAAGTGATGCAATTAGATCAGATTCATTTGGGAATAAGGAAACTTCTGCTGTAAAGCCTTTGGGAACCTGTTCATCAGCTTTACAAGTAAAACCAGCAGATGGCTTCCGAGAAGGTACTTTGGCAACCGGCCCTTGTGACACTAATAGGTCAGTCTTCCTGGTTAATGAAACCTCACAGACAAAGACAGTTACTCCAGAGAAACTTGAAACTCCCCAGAAGACCTCCAGCAATATCCTGCCAAATAGCAGTAAAGAGCTGAGTGTTGATGAGACACGTGAAAATAAATCCAACCCGTTCTTGAGCCGTGAATCGAAGTCACACAAAACCTTTACTGGTAAGAGACTAGTAGGAGTGAGGAACAGAATGAATATAGCAAGTATTCATCAATGTTTAAATCACCTGTATCAGAATTAACAACTAGGAAACAAATAGTAGGAATGCGCTACATATTGTAGCGTTAAATTCTAAATCACTTTTTTGTATTTTAATGCTCTAATGTAGTCAGTAATTTTTAGATGATCTCCTATTGGTTTTCTTAAGAATTAACAATCAGATCAGAGCCTGGATAGGCACCTTTTCTTGTGAATGATGAAGGTGAAATGATGGCATTTGCCCCTCCGCCCCCTGCCTTCAGTGTAACCAATCCCTTCAGAATGGGGATAACCAATCTTATCTGCTTGCACCCCGAAAAGTGCAATCTTCCAATAGGATATCTCAGTGCACAAGTTTATTTTTCCAATCTTCTGCCTGCAGTATGATTCTTTCCAAAGACACAAGGATAGAAAACTCTTCTCCACTAAAAGTTTAAAAAAAAAAAAATCTGAGAGTTTTCTGAAGGTAGATCAAACATTTGATCAAACATGTTTGATCAAAACATGTGTTTGGTTCCTAACTCTGATAAGTTTGTTTACGTTGTAGATGAACATCAGCTTTCTGCTGCACATGAGGTGTCAAATACTACTTCTACAAGTCTTCAACAAGGTAAGCCCGATCTTGTTGAGGAGCAAGATGCTAAAACCACGTTCAAGCCTGACAAACATGCTGATGAACCCACAAAAGTGGCCAATGAATCTGTATCAAAAAATTTAGCTTGGTTTAAAAGTTCTGGTACTGAAGATGACAAACATGTATCAGCCCGATACCAAGGCAGGGAACCCAAAGAGGAGATGGACTTCTTATCCAGAGCAGCTACAGAACACAGTGGGCCTGGTATGGATGGAAATAGAGGAGTTAAAAAAGAGTTACCATTTGGAAAGATTAAGCAACAAAATAGCATCTCACCTACAGCATTTATTTCTGAAGATACGCAACTGGTAAAAGAGAGGATGAAACCTAAGAATGGGGAAGAGAATGAGGAACAAAATGACAAATCACTAATTGAATTTGACTGTACAAGAGTTAAAGAAAGAGAGCATGGTCAAGAAATCAAGCAACAAAATAAAAAATCAAGTCTCTTGGAACATCAGGTACACAAGCTGCCTGCTCAGAAATGTGAATCGGAGAAGGCAATACAGGAAAGAAAAAGAATAAAGGAGATCAGAGCATTTTGGGAAAGGGATAAAACTATCCCTAGTCATGCAGGGAAAGAAGATAGTGTCACTACTAATGCATCAGGTGGCAGTGCATTGAGAGGTCGCAGGGAAAGTGACAAAATAAAAGCAACTGCAGTAAACCTACCTAATAGATTGAGTGATCACAGCAAGGATATGTTAAGAAATGCTGAACGAAGTTGTGGAAGCCAGGCTTCAAAAAATGAACATCAAAACTCTTTTGAGTTTGGACCAAGCCATGCAGTTGAAAAAATACAAAAACCACTTCCATCTGATGAAGTTCATGAATATGCAAAATTGCCAAAAGCCAGTAACTTGCAACCAAGAGTTGGTGCCACTTCAGCGTCCCCAGAAAGCAAAGACAAAGATGAGAAAGAAACACTTAAAGGAAAAGTTGCAGCTTGTTCCCAACAGAAGCCCAGGTTCCAAGTTTTGTCTTTAAAAGAAAAAATGAATGAAAAGCCCAAGAATCAAATTTCAGATCCTTCGCAGTTCAAGAGTTTGAGAAAATTCTGGGATACTGGAATTAAATTACAGAATAGCATTGATAGGGGAGATGCTTCTTTGCCAAATAATGCTAATTCAGTAACCTGTGCAAGAAAATCAAAGGAAGATAAAAAAGGCAGAGAAAATGTGAGCAAGGAAGAGTTAATTCGACAACAAACCCAAACATCTGAGAGAAAAAACCCACAGAAATTAGGCTCTGTGCTATGTGAACCACCTGTAGGATCACCTGCCTTGAAAGGTGTGAATGTGACACACACAAAATGCACAGACACTGTCCAGCTGGACAGAAAAACAGTCATTTCAAAACCCCAGGGAAAGATGGGCCTCACAGAGGAGGGAGTTAAAGAATATATAGAAAAAGGTATTGTTTCATCAAAAGAACATCAGGTTTCCTTGCAGTTGCTCCAATCGCTGGGTGCTAAAGATGCTTTAAAGGAGGCAGCAGTAGATGATTGGCTGTGGTCACCTATAGGAAAAGGGGAGAACAAGACTGTTCTCTGTTCATCTGAGGGAGCCTCAGATGTCAGTCTCCCCAAAGAGGAGGTTGCAGAGACTGTGGATAAGGTGATTCTACATAAAGCTGATCTCGATGTATTTACATTAGGCCTAAAGAGGTTAGAAAAGGAAGCCCCTGAGATGTCATCTTGCTTGAACTTAAAAGAAAACATTTTGAAGGGGACAGATTTTCACTCAAATGAGTGCAAGGTCTTTGAAGGAACAGTACAACAGAGCCATGACACTTCTCCTGCTGATGAAAAAGAAGAAATGAGTGTGCCATCAACAGATGAGCATGAAAACAAAAAAAGCCTCAAGAAACTATTTAGGAAATCTGAACCTCTCTCTCTACAACATCAGGAAGCAGGCAAGGATGATATTGTTAACCGTTCTCAGAGGCCTCAAGCTGTTTTGGAGACACTGCTCAGAGAAACCTTTGCATCTCAACCTTCTGAATGTAGAAGGGTGGAAATGAAAACATCCAATGACAGAAATAGCATATCACAAACCAATTCTAGTGTAGAAACAACATCCCCAAAAGATACTGGACAACCTGAAGAGGTCAATGAGACTGTGGAAAAGTCAGTTGCC